ATTACATCGTACATCGCCTGCTGGGCCTTGGTTACATTATTATAAAGGTTGTTTCTAAAGCAAGTTATTGCGTAAAGTTTAAAGCAAGTTATTACATTTTGCGTAAAGTTATTACTAATATTTATTATTATTTATTATAATACAAGGTCCATTCTTATTTCAGGCTCTCCTTAAATAATGTTTACATCTACAAATGCCATCATAACAAAGAACTAAACACACGTTTATAATCTAAACAGCACCTCGTTACCATTATGTTTATAATGATATTCATTCCATTAGAAGATGGAATACTTTCAGCTGAAGCTTTAATGCCCGAGCTGATTAAAGCTGCTGTGAGTGATGTGAGGCAGTCAGAGGAGTGTGTGTTACCTGTTGGTCAGAGGAGTGTGTGTTACCTGTTGGTCAGGTAGTGTGTGCTGATGATGTCCTCTGAAACCCATCTGAACACTGAAGCCCTCACCGCCATCATCACTGCTGCGACCCCACTGCGATGCAGCCGCTGCTTCCACTTCCGCTTCCGGCTCAGAGCGTGCCCACAGCGGCGCCTGCTGGAGGAGGACGCGTGCTGACACTCAATCTGTGCCTTTCACAAGATGTTATTGAGACCTCTGAATATGTTACTATTTTCAAAGAAAAGAAACATGCATTATAATTCTAATTCATATACATTTAGCCGAATTAAACATTTGACAAAGCTTGCAAAAATCAGATTTTGATATATTTGTATGCTTAAATAGCCTATTTGTTTATTTTTATGAATATGTTATTGGGCAGGCTTTGCGTTTATTTATTTTGTTTTATTCATTTAGAAATTTGTGTCAGAGTTTATTTATTTATTTGCAGGTTTGCACATTTGTTTATTTTTATTCACTCATTTAATTTAACAATTGCAGCACAGCGTTAATTGATGTATTATATTTCTAAGTGTTTGTACAGTTAATTCATTAATTTATTTGCAGTTGTTTAGTTTACTCATTTGTGGTAGTTTTTTACTCATTCATTTAATTTAGTAATTGCATGCTTTCACATTTGTTTATTTTTATTCATTTATTATTTTGGCAGATTTGCCGCATTTGTTTTTATTTTATTTGTATTTACGGTTTTTTATTAATTAATTAATTTATTTATTTTATTGATATTTATGTATTTATTTGCACGTTTGGGAATTTGTAAATTGTTTATTCACTAATTATGTGGCAGGGTTTGCAAATTAGTTTTTATTATATTTGTATTAATTGTATTAATTTCTATTTTGTCAGAGTTATTTTATTTGTTTATTTGCATGCTTGCACATTTGTTTATTTATTTTATTCATATTATTTATTAGTTTATTTATTTATTTGCACGTTTGGGAATTTGTACATTTTTTTTAAACACTAATTATGTGGCAGGGTTTACAAAATGAACAAATTCTCAAAATATATAAATAAATAAATTAAGAAATAAACTAAAAAAATCGTAAAATAATACAAATAAAACAAAAAAAAAAACCGCAGAACCTGCTACAAAAATAAATGAGTAAAATAAACAAATGTGCAAGCATGCAAATAAATACATTAATTCATTTTGACAAAAGTAGAAATTCATACAATTAATAAAAATATAATAAAAACAAATGTGCAAACCCCCTGAAAATTAAATGTGGAGGAAATAAATAAATAATTAATTAAATGAATGAATAAATAAACAAACAGTGAATAAATATAAAAATGTGGATTTATACATAAATAAATAAATATTATTAAATATAAATGTATTTAATATAAATATTAATGTATTTAATTAATTAATTATGTACTTAACGATTTATTTATTTCAACATTTATTTCATGATTTAATTTGGAGTAATTTGGCCCTCCACAGTTTTTAGCACGTGTCTAAAAAAATAAAAAAATAAATAAATAAATAAATCAGTGTGTGTCCGCAGCTGCGCATCATCCCGCCTCCAGCTTCAGTACAGCGCCTGCGCTCCGCGGCTCCGGTTCACCGTCTCCTCGCGAACATGGCGGCGCCTGCGCTCTCCAGTCGGGCTGGTTCAGCTGGCAGCAGCCCCACCGCCACCCCGAGCAGCACCAAACTCGTCCCGCAGGCCCCCGAGCTGGACTTCAGGTCCGGAGCCAGGATCGAGGAGCTCAACCGGCTGATCGCCGAGTTCAGCAAGCACGAGCAGCGCGAGTATGACGACCAGCGAGCGCTCGAGATCCACACGGCCAAGGACTTCATCTTCTCCATGCTCGGTGAGGAAGAGCTCTGCTTCTGACACAATGCAGCTCATGCATGCATCTGAAAGGGAAAGTGCGCTTTTGCGCGTTCAGTGCGTCTGTTTGTCTCTGTCTTTGCGCTTCGTTCTGCGTTAAGCAGCGGATGGGTGTGTTTGCAGCTTCAACACCCTCAACTCGTGTTTGCACTGCTATTCTGATGCTTTATTTGCATGAGATGTCAAAATCAGGTCATCTGCTTGCTGTTAAAGGAACAGCTCAGCCAAAAATGTATATTATGTCATTATTTACTCACCATCATGGCTGGATGTCTTTCTCTGGAAAACAAAAGGAGGTGCTCAATTTCCAAGCCCCTCTGCTTTCTGTTTCATTCAGTGAAAGTGGGAGGTCTGCAGTGGCTGTTAAGCTCCAGAAAGAACAAAAATGCACCTTTGAAGGCATAACATTAAACATTTTAAACTGTTATTCACTAAAACAAAAATTCGGAGTAAATAATGACAGAATTGGCATTGCTTATGAAAGATAAGATGATGCACAATTTCTAAGTCTCTCTGCTTTCTGTTTTCATTCAGTGAAAGTGGAAGTTCAGCAGTGTCTTTTAAAGGGATAGTTCACCCAAAAATGAAAATGTGATGTTTATCTGCTTACCCCCAGGGCATCCAAGATGTAGGTGACTTTGTTTCTTCAGTAGAACACATATGATGATTTTTAACTTTAACCGTTGCAGTCTATCAGTCGTATAATGCATGGCAATGGTAACAAAATCTATGAGAGTAAAAAAAACATGCACAGACAAATCCAAATTAAACCCTGCGGCTCGTGACGACACATTGATGTCCTAAGACACGAAACGATCGGTTTGTGCCAGAAACCGAACAGTATTTATATCATTTTTTACCTCTAATACACCACTATGTCCAACTTCCTTGAGCGCGCAGGCATCCGGTGTGTGAGGTGTGTACGCGCTCTGGCGTAGTTTACGTTAATGGGTGTGTTGATATCCAGCCGAAGAGCAATCAACCATAACTTCAGGCGAGCAGGC